TCTGCCACATACAAGTGAAATGTCTGATACTGGATTTATTCTTTTACTCTAGGCTCTTAGGCTTACCCGTCTTGCAAAAGTAATTTGTTACACAATGCTCTTTCAATTTGACAGCTTCAAGCATGTTCAGTCCTAAATGTATTGGGCAACCTAGGAAGACTAATCTCTCTCCTGCTCAGCTGGACCTTTTTTATACTCAGGGTGATTCCCTGACTTCAGATGATCAACTTGACGACACCTGGGTAACTGTATTTGGGTAAGTTGGTTTTCAAAGTATTAGAAAAACCATGGGTGAAGTCTTTGCAACATATGGAAAGAAGTACTTGGGCGTTGCTGTCGTGTGGCAGTCCTAGGTGCTGCAGAAATCCAGGTGTGGTTAAAGCCAGCAAATGCACATATTTTAGTGAAGCTCCTTAAGCTACATGTTAATTTTTTCAGGTTTCAGTTCTCCCACTGAGGTGTGTGGTGAGGTAAAAATGCCAGGGAGATAATATTCCTCGAGTCACTGCTGCTGCAATGGCATTAACACGGTGGTCTCTTGGATTTCTAAAAACCCTTCGTAGGGTTGTACTTGAGCACCAGAATTCTTCAACTACTCCTTACAATATTCTGAGGTTGTTTTTCTGTCTTTCAGATTTCCTCAGGCATCAGCTTCATATATTCTTCTACAGTTTGCTCAGTATGGAAATATATTAAAGCATGTGGTACGTCTTAGTTTTTGACTTGTTTCTGCAAACATTCTGTCTCATTCTTGAAGAGGCTGAATTTCACAGTTTCCCTTAATCTCATACAGATGTCCAACACAGGGAACTGGATGCATATTCGATACCAGTCTAAGCTTCAAGCCCGGAAAGCCTTAAGCAAAGATGGAAGGATTTTTGGTGAATCCATCATGATTGGTGTCAAGCCCTGCATAGATAAAGTAAGTTAACGGCTGCTTTTACTTAAATACAAGGCACTCTGCTTTTGGGCTTCCTCTGTTTTCCGTGACCCCTTTAACTTTTTTTCTTCTTGAATTGCAAAGCAGTGGTAGTTGGTTTATATAGGCATAGTCAGTTATAACTCCTTACATGAGTTTTTCTTGAGTATTTGACTAAATTTCCTGCTGAGAAGGGTCATGAGGGAAACCTTGGTGCTCCTTGAAAGTTGCAATGCAGGGAGTGACATTGCTGCACAAGATGTGAAGTTAAACCATAACGTATGAGTCAGTTGGGATAAAAGAGTTTCCCAGAGGGAATTTTTGGCCTTTGGGTGCTGAAATAGATGCGTGATGGCAGCTTAAGACTGTTACTACTCCTAATTGTCCCTTTTTTCATGTGACTCTTTATGTGATCCTGGCTTTTCAGTTTATCTTAGTCTGCCAGACTGGAAGGATTTGGTCAGGCCCATGGCAGCCCTGTGTCTCCTTTTCCCACAGCCCCATCCCTCAATGCTTCTCTCAGACTTCAGTCCCTACCCCACACCTGCCCTGACATATCAGTGCTAATAGGGGTAGTGGGACCCAATTCTATCTTAATGACATTTTCTTAACCCAACATCCCTCTTCAGGGCCACCATGGGTCTGAAATCTGTTCCTCCATGTGCCAGCCCTGGAGCCATAAACAAAAGTATATGGTGACTGAACACAGACCAACAAGGGGGGAGGTGAAAGGCATTGTGAAACTTTTAATCAAATTTTAATGTAGAAATTGGCATCAAGTTTGGAATTTGCACGTTAAAATACAATAAAATGAGCCCTTTGAGAAGAGTGGTGATGCTGTTATTTTAAAGTCATATGCAATCATTGCGGTTAAAGATATTGTAATAGGAGTGTGTGCTTGATCAGATGACCTTATTTCACCTTTTTGCCAAATTTGAAGATCCTCCATGAGAAAATGGAACTAAATATTTGATGCGGTCTAGTGCTTTAAATCTTGAAATAAGTCTTGGTGGTCCGCAGCCACGGAAGGCGTTTAAAGGGGGTCTGTGGTGAAGGAAAGTTTGAGAACTCCAGTCTCAGACACTGCATTGTCAGGTGTCCGATCTTTTTTTGCTTTTGGATTCTCTGTGTCTTTGGTGCGGAGTGTCCGCTTTCAAATGTCAATAAATAAACTCATAACCTGTAATTTTGGAGGGAAGAGAGATTTCTGGAGACCAGCTCCTTGAGGGCTTGGCATTCTACTGTGAAACTCCTTCTTGCAGTTGAAAACTGGATGCGATGGATTTGACAGCAGTGCTCCAGCTTCTGATTTTCAAGTAGCAGTTAGTTCTGTGGGTTCCCCTTGAGCTGAGCAGAGTCAGCTGCCACCCACCCTGGACACCAGTGCTGTCCTGTATTTTGGCTAGCTGTTCCCTGCCAGCTCTCCCTTGCAATTTCTGCTGCCTTCAGGCTGGTTGAGTGCTGTGCTCCATTGAGTCTAAATGAAGCCAATAGGATCTTCCCAGGCTGGTTGTCATTTCCCGTCTTGTTTTCTCTGGGTTCCTGTGGAGCTCGTGTTTCCTATGAAGTCACTTGCTGCCTCTTCCGTTCTACATGCGTTTCTTTCTAAACTTAAGCTTGCAAAACGGAGCATTCTGACTCCTTTTCTGGCATTTGCTAAGGGCACTGGGTGAAATTCCTTGGCAAGTTGAATCTGAGCAAAGAGCTGCGAGTTGGTAAAGGCTTGGAGACTGTCCTGTGTGGATCAGGAGAACTAATTTACAAGTGTTTAGGGAGAAGATGTTATGCTACTTAGTTGAAGAGGACCTGAAAACGTTACTGCCTGGAGTTTGCTGACAGGCAAAGGGCCTGTTTACTGAACATAATTTATGAACTAATTCTAGATAATCGTTGATAATAAAGGTTTAATTACTGCTTTTTATTACTTATAATGAAGGTTGAAATAATGCTTTTTCAGTTTTTATTGACATTGTATTAACTGTCTTTTTAAGGGTGTGATGGAAAACTTTGAAAGGTCTGCACCCTCAACATCTTCAGCTTCCATTACGGACTATCAGGTATTTTAAGAGAAACAGAAGCATGTGGTTCTTTCTGCTATCTCCCTTTAGTTGTCCAAGGCTGTACTGATGTTAATGTCAGTGTGACGTTAGCCAGCCTTTATCTTCTGTCATTTCTTTAAAGTTGTGGTTCAAGTACAAACTCAGTCTGTTCAGTCTCTGAAGTGATAATAACAACAAATAATGGATTGCCAACTTGTCACTTCTCCAGAGGTTAAGAGCTTGTTTGGAAAACCTTTCAAACGTATTTTGTCAAAATACAGTAGCACTTCAGAAAAGAAAAAACCTAGTTAGTATGAAAAGAATCAACTCTGTGTTGACTGATTCTCTTTATTTTCTCTGTCCCTCTTTTCCCCCCGGGCTTCTAGGTGGTTTCTGATGGACAAATTCCTCGAAGGGATGAAAGCATTATATCTAGAGCAGTGGAACTTGTGTTGAGCTGGTAATATACAATAGAAAGTAGCACACTAAGTTGGTCAGGGTTTGAAATGTGGTACTGGCATCTGTGGCTAGTTGTATAACTACTGGTGGCAGTATTTTAACTTACATCTTGCGTGTTATGCCTTCAGTTAATTCAGCAAACATGTAGCTTGCACTTTAAATGATGGCCATGTACACGCAGTTTTGAAAACTAAGTGTAAATACAAGTGCTTCTTCCCATTTGTGCCCGATGGCATGATTGTATTAAAAACAGGAGCACGGACTTTTCCTCTGTAATTAGTTTCTATGAATTACTGTCCAGTAAGTTGGAAATGTGTAAAATGGCAGCTTTATTTACTGATGCCTTTTGATTTTATAGGTTTTTCTCTCTTCTGGAAAGATGATGGGCTCCTTGAGGAAGAACGCCATGCACAGCTGTCTCCCAGGGACAGGCACTGTTTTAGTATCTGTGATTATTTTGTACATGATCAATTTCTATTAATAAATGTAAAATTCCTGTCAAATCATTACCGTGTTAAAACTTTCATCCGTGACAATGATGCTGCCTCATGTTTATTAAAGTGCTATCAGTAGAGCAAGTTCTGCTGATTTTTAGTGAAGTAGTACCGGCCAGTGTTAAAACTAGCTAATGTCTAAATGTGTCTCTGTGGGTATTTTACAGCAGTGTGCACTTAACATGTAACAGACTGTAGCATTGTAAGCTATAAAACATTGAGCTGAAATAGCTGAATAGAAAAATGCAATGCGTCAGTGACCAGAGCTGCTTTCCTTTCAAACTCGCTCTAAGAAATTTTCTCTAAGGTAGTGGATGAATGATATGAATTTAAAAAGAATAAAATAATTTGAGCTTCCCCGCCTTGAAGTTTTCTTTTGGAGGGAGGCAAGCCTCTCAAATAGTCATGTGTGTCCTGTACGTTCATGGTCTTTGAGATAAAGGTCTCTTTCATGTGGGAAGGGAGCAATATTTTTCTGCGGTACTTGGGAAACTACCTGCAACTATTGCTTTTTTGATTTTGTGGCTGTGTTGGTGTGGGTCAGCGTTAGCATTTTAGTTTGGGTCAGTAGTGTGTCGGTCAGGTGAATATCCAGTCATACCCGTTTCCATGCTTGGCTTCACGCTGCAGGGTGGTCTCAGAGTTCTTCAGCTGCACTCCTCTGGTGAAATTAGGTTGAAAGAGTAGTCCAGGAGCATGCCTAATGTCCCTCCGATGGTAATGGGCATCCGGTTTACAGGGTTAAGCTAGAGACAGTCCTGAGCAAAATCCCCAAAGCTCTTAGTGAGAAGTCGGTTTTCTACGTCAGGGCTCTTTGTGCTTCACTGTCTGCTTTAGAAGCAACCTACATGCAGGCAGATGCAGCGGTTTTGGAGGTGTGTTTTAGCATGTTTGCTGGCTGATGCTTTTGGGAACTTGGTTGCTGCTCATCCATGTGGTTTTGATCAAAGGGAGCTGCTCAAAGTTAACCAATATCTGAGCGTGTTTTCTCAGAATGATCTGGCTTGGCGAAAAATCTGTCATGCAGATGACTTCAGAGAGAAAATGGGTAGTTCAGCTAAATTCATGTTTTGCTAGTGGCTTTGCAGAATGTAATTGTGGTGCTCTTCAGTCTTGATGCATATAGGATTTTGTTTAGTGAAGTGATGAGCAAGATTAAATTCCGATCAAGGAAGTCTGAACCTGAATACTTAGGAAGGGCTTGGAGCCAAAGTCAGTAGTTTGGCTGACCTATTTTACCATCAAGTACCTTATTTAAAACTGTATGTATTTGGGTTTGTTGTTTGCTTTTTGCTTGTTCTTTATTTCCTCCCAGTTGTTTACCTTAGTCTCTTGTTTCCGATAGCTTTAAGAATGATTTTACTAATGGGTCAAGGCAGCTTCCTGTAGAGTAAAAGCGCTTGTGAAGTAGCTGATGTTTACTTTGCTATGGAGGTAGTAAATCTGAGGAGAGCAACCTTGAGAAGATAGAAATCTCTGTGCTTCTGGACAGACTGTCATTAAAAATTATCTTCATAAGTCTTCTGCAGGTAAAGTGCTGGTAAGACTTCCTAGTGTCGAGCACTAGTTAAACACTGGTATCAGTGATTTGGGCTTACAGAGTGTGAGAACACTGCAGTTCCGCACTGCACAAACCACTGCACAGCTTTGTTGCAATGTGTTTCTGATAATATTGTTAATTCTATGAGTGTGCAGGGGCCATGTGCAGAAGGACGGGGGATATTGAGAAGTACATGGTTGAAGAAACTGAGAGGTCTGCCAGTAATCCTTTTTAAGGCTAGCTCCTCTTGTTAGGTAGCATTGCATTTAAAAGTCCAGTTCTTCCCTTTTTCCTATGTACATGCTGCTTTGCAGCAAGGAAGGATTCTCTTCTACCTGTAGCTAAATGTGTTTTACATTAAAACCAAAGTTGCGGACTTCAGCTAGTGATGTGTGACATGCAAAACCCAGTTGTGGTTTCAGTTGCATGGGGTTTCTTGTAAGACTCTGGACTACATATTTTTCATACGATTATGGCTTTAATCTGAAATAGAACTCGTGCATACTTATTTTCTGTTGTTTGTCTCCATCACAAGCATGTTAGTCAGATCTAATTTACTTCTCATTATGCAGTTCTACACAGTTTTAAAGTCTACAATGATTTGTTTTATTGTTTCCATGGTAATTTCACTACAGCTTTAACAGTTATTTTTTTTGGTTATGACTTTTATAACTTGGAGATAGTGTTTGTTTTTGTCCTTCTTTTTCTCTCCCACCCCTTCTGAAATTAACTTTCTAGTAAGTTTCAAAGTGAGTGATATTTATTTGGATAATTTGTACACAAATAGAAAAGGAATATGAAATGTTACAGTACATCATGTCTGCCTCTCATTTCAAGCTGTAGGCATCTACCTCCACCATGTGGCAGTTCTTCAGAACTTTCCTTAAAGATTTAATTTAGTGAGATACTTAAATCATATTGAATGTGTCTTAATTATACATAAACAGTACTGTGAGAAAATAGCAGTGCTCAGATGTCTCTTAGTTGTGTTTTTGTAATGTAAGGAGTAAGGACAGAGATGAGTGTACTCAATATCTTAATTCGGTAGTAATTCAGCCTTATAAATACTACTTCAATGAAGTAGTTTTTTAAACTTGGTTTAAAATCTTCCCATTATTCATTCATCTCTATTTTGAGATGGATAAATTGGCCAAATGATAATTTTGCAGAGTATACCACAATGGCCATTTTTTATGAACATAATTTCCTTTTTTTATGATAGTCTGAGTACATGTATTAAAATACAAGACTTGCATCAGTTTTCTTTAATTTGATTCTAGATGACTAGACAGCAGAAGAGTCTGGAAAAATGTACTGATTAAATATGTTTAGAAATAGTAAGCTCTTCAGTTAAGGAAAACAAACTGGCTTACAAGCAACTTGGAATCAGCAGTTTGCTAAATTTCAGACTGCAGGTGAGAATACTCTGGAAAGAAAATGTTCTAGATCTATATTAAAAACATCAGTCCTCGGGCAACTTCATGGCTTTGTGGTTATGCCCTGTTTTAATTGTTTGGACAAGAGTAAAAGGTGTTCTTCAGTAAGTGTCAAAGTACAAAGAAAGCGTCAAACTTGTGTTAGTGTTTATAAATGAGAGTTCAGTTGGTGAAGTTACCTTTAAGAATGATTGTGTAATTAATAACTTTGTAAAATGCTTTTGGCCTTCTCAAGAGATCCTTTGTCTCAAGTATGTTTTTCTATAATGCATGTAAACTGTGTTTCCATCAGCAAAGTCATATTTTCCACTTTTGTGCAAGTAAAGCTCATGTTGGAAATCAAGACTACATCTGAGAAGTTGTAAATTCTTATGTCCCATATAATGTCAAATATCTTGATTCTTCTTCAAGTTAAGTTTTGTAAGCTAAGTTTGAGCTTAAAGAGTTTATTACTGAGGTAAGCAGATGCAGTTAGTGACCCCCAAAATCTAGTCTATGGGGAGGAAGTGCTGGTTTTTGTTCATTATAGTGCTTTTGTGTGTGAAGCTGGAGACTCTCCTGTTGGAAATACGGAAGTAAAGAATTGCTCTCTGAATAGCTACTGTTTTCTTTTGCTCGGTTGTATATTGTACCCGTTTTGGGTGTATTTTACTGCAGAAACCAGTTCATGAACATATCTTCCATTGTAGGGATTAGAGGCCTTTTCACTGTGTGGTGTTTTTTGTTTTTCTTTCCAATTGTTTATGTAAGCCACCTAATTAGCATCTTGTTTAGCTGCCTTTAGAGTCCTGTTTATTCTTGTGAGAATCTGTCCCTTGTTGCAGAATTAAGTTTCAAAACCCACTGTTTTCTTTTTCAAGGATCTTTCCAGTCCCCTGGTGTTAAGGTAACCTGAATACATGCAGCAATGATTACCTGACAAATGGATGTCTGTGGAGATCTTGGAAGATGTGGTTCTGTAATGTGGGTTATCCAGATATTAATAATAGACTATTTGTTTTGAAACTTGCAGACAGGTCAAAATTGGTTGTCAGATGAAGTGTTGCTGCTGAATATTTTAGTTGGAACCCAGAGTGGGTGAGTTTGTTTGAGTGCTAATATGTTAATTGGTGGTTGTACTTTTGCCAAAACTCCTGTTTCCTCCTGGCGACTAAACATATAGCTGGCTTGAAAGAATCATGATTGCAACACTGGCTTTCATGACATAAAGCACTGTAAAATGAATTAAACTGTTAGTTAAACTAGTGTCAGTTTCCAGTGTCCTGCTCAAAAATGCTCAGCAATCCAGACTATGACAGAAGTTAGGCTTTGCATCCATGAAATCATAAAAATTTAATGGAACTTCCTCTTTATTTTTTTAAAAGAAGTCTTTGCTGCAAAGTAACCAGCTACTCTTGCACAACATGCTTTCTCAGCTAGCATGTACCTTGACTTACTGGGATTTCTTACTGAGTGCATTAGCTCTCTTTATAGTTTGCAAATTTGATTTGTTTACTGTGTAGAATTCCACTGGTGCTGACTTCAATGAGATTGAG